GTATTTTAAGTTCAGTTAAAAATGTTAAGATTTTGAATTTCTCTTTTATAATGAAGATAGATTTCTCAGGTGCCATTACCTAAGAACAGGGAGATCACAATCTCATTTGGTCACTGTGCCTGTCTGAGATTCTTCTTGGAGGCACTCAAATATCAGTTGAATAGAGCTCTCTGAGATCTGTAGTCCCGGTGACTGTTTGGCTCCTATTGTCTTTCTCATGTGCCTTATTTTCCAGTATGTTGCTTTTGGATTGCAGGCTGGGGGAACTGGGTTGAAAGGATTATATAGGAACACTATGTGGGACACTTAAATGGAGGGGAAATGTTCTGTAGGTTCTGTTAAAGTAACATCTCTCTCCTCGCAAGTGATAGTGAGATAACACGGTTGTCTCAAGGTGAGAATGAACATATGGACTATACATCTCAAAGGAATTTTTCTCCTGGGAAGACCTTTTTCACAACTTGTTCTTAACAGCTGTTTCTCGTGCGGTACTAATAGTGACGTTACTGCTGTAATTAGTAACTTTCTCACTTGCATCAAAGACAACAGTAAAGGATTGCCTTTACCATATTGTACTTTTGGGGTTTTTTTGAAAATATGATGGGTAAGAAAAGAATATTGGTTTTTCTAAAGTTAAACAAACAAACCTTGTTTACAAAAAGCTTAATGGAGCGAAGCTCTCCTCATAAGCTTACTGCGTTGCCTCAGCTGTTGAATCTGTATAGCAGGGGTATACATGAGCAAAATTTTTAGGTGAACTGAACCCTCGGTTACATTAAGGTCAAGCTGTTACGGTTGTACAGTAAGTAGCTGAACAGTTCAGCGGATTCACTGACTTCTGCTTGGAGCCTGCTACTGCAATGTAGTGACTATGTAAGTGGCCACTTAATCACTGTTAGGAGTCCTGAGGCACCTTCATCTTGCACGCTCTAGCTGACCTCGAAAGCTTGTAAAAACTTGCTTGGCAGGTGGTTACTGGAGAGTTTCTCTAAACACCTGACCTGAGGTGCTTGCTGGTGCTGAGAGCAGCTAACCCCCACCTAAGTGCTGCAATCCGTGTGTCCTGGAAGGTCTATGTTATTTCACTTAAAGTAAGTTGTGTGATATGAAGACTCAGCAGTGCAGGCTCCCTGAGTTGTACCTGTCTGATGACATGGCATTTCATTTGTATAGAGACACAGGCAGTGTGCTGCAATCGGGCTGTTGCTGCTTTATGCAGTGGGTGCTTAAAATAGATATTCTGGGGTCCTGTTCTGAGTATCTGAATCCTTTATGAGACTTCCCTTTGGATAATTCTTTATGTGCACATTTTGTTTTTGTTAATCACAGCTCTGGAAAGTAAAGAAAGCTTTGAAAATGACAATCAAGTGGCAAGGCTTGAGACCCAAAATTCAGGTATAGTAGACATTGTCCTGTTAATGATTACCCTGTTGAGCTTTCTGTCTGTTCCCAGGTTACTGTGCAACTTGGCTTTTTAGGGAAATGAAGATTAAAAAAGCTATAAAAGTGTCCTATGTACATCTTGTCCTATGTACATCTTCTCTTTATGGATGGTTTAATCAAAAAGCTGTATGAACATTGCCAAACTTACGAATTTGCTTGACCAATTCTGTAGAAGAAGCAGCTATTTATTTATGGTGCAAGAAACTTCTGAACTCTTCTGCCAGTCCTGCTG